GTTTCAGAAAGTCAATGCGCTCTGCCACGTACCATATAACCACAGGACCAGATACCGGTTCCCGAAAAAGCCCGATTCACAAAACGCATTACTCTCGGGCGTGTGTTGCCCGATCTGTTACAGATAAACGTGCCAATGAGTACCCATGCCTCAGTCACGTCGGCACCAGAGACTAAGATCGAGGAGCGGTGTCAATTCTTGGGAATTTGGCACCAACTACTCGACATGCAGTAATGGCCGCACAATACAGAATTGAATGTTTATCATAGAGGTTTTCACATTGGTCAAAATATGTTGGTAATATAGAATCAAGGGCACACACTAGCGCTTTATTTCGCTTATGCATCGTCAAACGAGGTAAACGTGGTCTGTTTACCAAAATTCATAAGTGAGAGCAGGAAAGACCAGTACGAGCTCGAAACTGATCGATCGGCACTGGTGCAGTGGCGCGCGCGGCTGGAACAACCGCTGAATGCGCGCCAACGTGCTTTCGGTATAAGTGCTTCGGGACCTCTGGTGGCAGATTAACTGCTGCGGTAGGCGATAGGATGACAGCCTGGTCGCAAAAATGCGATCGGGCCGCAACATAACATATTATAAGGATTAGGCCGATAGGTGGGGGAAGCCCGCAGCTTCCTCGGGATAGAGATTTACAAGGTGCGGATGTCGATCCGTCCGTGTGGTGACGGATTAAGAATACAGAGTGTCACCACCCCTATTCATCCCGTGGGTGTCGTAAAAGGCGACTAAGGGAGCAAACTACGCAGGACAACAGCACTGGAGAGAGACGGAAAACTTGACACAAACCCTATACCAACCCGTCTGGCCAGCGTGGTTTAGTAGGCCAAAACCTCCTTTCTAAGGAGAGGCCTATGTCCAGCAGTGGACTAGTAAAGGCTGTCGATGCGATGCGATGGATGTCGATCCGGGGGAGACCTGAAATAACATGGTACGGGTCCTCCTCGGAGTAGGACGCCTGAGTCCGGCCATCGGGGTGGTTTTTAGTATATCCTATATCCCCAAGGAGCCAGGGAGATCCGAAGGGATTTCCACCCCGTCAGCAATAAAAAGGCCCATATTCCAGGATAGCACCTTCCAAAGTATTCCTTGTATACCACTAACCAATTTCATCAAAACAAAGCAAAGAAGTACTCCACATAAGAAAATTATCATAGCATATAGGGTATATGGTACCTGTCATAACATACCATACCTATCATAGCCGTATCATAATTAAAATCTTAATAAAGTGGTTATCAACTGATTTCAAATATGTAAAACTTTAGTACAATAGGTACAGTAGTATACTGTTTTAGTAAGATAGTTATAGCTATATTGAGTTATAACTTTCTACCATATTATATAATATCTTCGTATGTATGTACGTACATCGGATTCTTTATTCCACCATAAATTTTAAATGTCTGGAGAGAATCTGGATGTGTGGAATATCAGTAGATTCTTTAAATGATCAAAATGGTAGCTTCATGGCGTGCAAATTGGTTGTTTTCCAGACAGCTAAAATGTTCTAGTTGACTATTATTTCTTAAAAAGAAAAAGTTATAAAAAAACATTTTGGAGTTTATCATGTATACAATTTTAAAAATTCTTGGCATAAGTGACCATTTATCGAAAAAGGCTATAGGCTAACTATAGGCTAACCGAGCATCAATGAAACATGTTGCAAAAACAGGGAAAATTTACTCCTTTTGATACACGCAGATGAAGTGGCGCAGGGTAGCTAGTGTATACTAATGAGATGTCGACATACCATTACATTTTACACGTGTGCGTATTAATAACTAACCGACAATCGCTGCACGGTCGGTTTACCATATTTATATTCAACCTAGCGAAGCACTAACCTTGCGAAGGTTTTCTTGTGGCAAATAGGATAGAATGGATAAAGGAGGATTATTAAGATTTTGAGCGTTAAAAAAATTAAATTAGAAAAGTCGAAAGAAGCAAATAATTATCTTTTAATCTATTTATGTCCCGTAAAGAATAATATATGCATTAATGTTACATTATAAACTATAATAACTAAAATATTGCCCTTAGATTCGCTTAATCTGAACCTGTTCAAAACTTGTTTTCTACGTATAAAATACCTCCCTGTTAAATTACAGTTCTTTAGTACAAAATACGTTTTTCTCTCATTTTAGTCTCAAGTCAGGAAGGCTGTACGTGCGCGCTCGGTGTTACATATTCATGGACTTCTGCTTTACTGTAAGTAGAAATAATGAAAGAATTAAATCACCGTCACAGTACTTCCATAAAAAATGTCATACCGAAATCAGTCTTAGGGCCGTATTTTAAAATCTGTCTCAGTCGTGAATCTAGTCTTATTACTAATTTTAAGTAGAGATTTTATAATTGAAGGTCACTTAAAACGATATTCACTAATCCATACTCAAGTGAGTGATAGCTTATTTGAGAACGATGTTTATGTCGAAATCTTTACTCAGGTAGGTACCTATAGATTTTGACAGCTGTGGTCTTTGTTTACGTGAGACATGCTGAAAGTAGTGTCAAGCAATGATTTGGTGATTTCTAGGGCATTTTACGGGAAATGAATGTGTTTTACGATGATTTGTTTCTGAATAATTACGAAGGATTTACTTTACTTTATTTATGAATGAATTACTTGCCACACTATAATCAATTCACTTTCATTTACTTTTATTGATATTAAATTAACTAAAATTAACATTTCACATACACAATACTTTTTAAATTAAAATCACCACAACCTTTTGGTTTATGTTAAAAGTATAATTTTATTCTAGTAATATAAATTTTAGAAATATAAAAAAAAAATACCTTGTTTGACATTTCAACATGACAAGTGTTGATAATAGGTATTTACCTATGAAATTGCCGTTTTGTATGCAATCAGTGAAAGTACTTATTTTTTCAAACTTTTTTATTTATGTTATTCGAAGTAATCACCCATGCAATCGACGCATCTTTGCCAACGCCATGGCAGTTTATTGATGCCCTTCTTGTAAAAATCAGCTGGACGGGAGGCAACAAACTCTTCAAAGGCATTTTGTACTGCCTCGCGGGAATTGAATTTTTTACCCACTAAAATGTTGTCTAAATTTTGGAAAAAGTAATAGTCGGTAGGTGCGAGGTCTTGAAGGTTTGAAAAAATAAGTACTTTCACTTATTGCATACAAAACGGCAATTTCATAGGTAAAGACCTAATATATAACTTGAACGTTCCGTTATAGCTATACCGTATATACTTTAGTTTTGATCTGCCCTTAAAAATAATTTCAGGCAATCAGAGTTAGACCGATACTTGAAACGTCTTTTAAAATACGCATAATCATATGTTATGGTTATATGGGTATATAACCATAACTTAAACCAGCATAAAAAGCTAGAAAACTATGTAGGATATTATATCTTTAAAACTAGTTATGTCTAACGCATACCTTGGATGCATACAAACTTGTGGGTATTTAGATGGTTCTTCCACGTTGGAAATTCTGAGCAAATTTCGTCCCTTTTTTCCGAGTTACAAACTAATCTGTACCGTTCTAAAAATACCTCCTCGTAGGTGACAAATTAATTTTCCAATTCCAATTGGCAATTTGTAAAAAAAAATATTTTGTTAAAAAATGCCATGAGGACTTTTGGTATTTTTCAAAGGAAAATAATTAAAAATGTATACTTAATGATTCTAAATCAATAGGTTTTTCGTTTACCTGTTAAGAGTTAAACTTGGCTAAAATATAAAAGTACTTAGTAAAGTAAATTAAGTAAATTAACAGTTCAGGGACAGAAACCGCGGGCACCAGGGACTTCCTTTCTAGGGTATACCAGGTTCCCCGGCTATTAGTACCCGAGACGGCGTGCGGTTTTAGTCGGTTCGAGTCGACACATGCCACCGAGTGGTATCCGAGGGGAATTCCGCACGGAAAAAAAAATGGACAGAAACCGCAGACTTCAACGAGATCCTTTCAGGTATACCCGAGAAATAAAGCTTTGATTGAAAGACAGGCAAGAAACGGAGTGATCCTAGAAGGATTTTGTTTCCACGAATTAACAGGATTACTGAGTTGTACGTTTTAGGTTGTACCCAACATTTCAACCGAAACGCCCGTAAACTTACTTGTGAATAAGACTCGATTTATATGTAATATTTGAATAAATATTTACTATAAAGTTTCTTTTATGATAAACTATTGAGTATGGTATACGAGTAATACCGAAACAGGTCAGAAATGAAAGCGATTCCTAAGCCACAACGGAATAAAATAAAAAAATGAGTATCTACGGTGATAAACGAAGTATAGTACATAAACAGCCCCACGATTTAATTCACACTTACTAGTGTGAAGCAAAATATTATTACAATTTTAATCAATAACATTAATAAGACTCAACTATTTTTTACGATAAATAATATGTATGGCCTGACCTCGCACTTAATTACTCTACAAGTCTCACACCTTCCTGTGATGAAAGTATCTCGAATCCAATCCCATCCACCTCAAATAGGGATAATGTACTGATATCTGCGACTTTTGGGTTGTAGGTGCGCATGGACAAACAATTCCAGCCAAGAAAATCATGTGATGCGATCATTCGACCTCCTTACAGTTTGAAAAGCTACTAACCGACAAAAGAGTACTAAATACTTATGGTACTGGCACATTAACAGTGATTATGTTCTTTGCTACATACATGCAATTTGAACGTTGTTAGTATTCTGTTAGTAAAGTAAGCAGAGCAAGTAAATAAATAAATCAGAATTAATAATTGCATTACAGTAGCTATATAAGTTCTATCTCCGTGATAAGAAGTATACTATCGGTATTTTGATTTGTGATAACAAATACATTATCGATTATATATATAAATAGGTATAAATGTATCACGACCTATGTTGAAGTTTATAAATTGTATCATATCCTTGCAGCTAACCAGTCTTAAGGAGTTGGAACTTGAAACTTGTCGCTGTCAAGTGATTAAATCGGATTTAAACAATGAGCATCGATAAACAGTGAGTACATTTTTTTTTAAACTCGTTACTAGAAATACAAGTAAGCAAGTAATTCAAATAGATTTTATGGTGACAGCAACACTTTGTTTAGAATTTTCTTTCTACTACAAATATACCCGTAGTATTAAGATTGTGAATTTTGTTTGTCTAGTTTTAAAAATATTTTTTGTTTTGGAAACAATATTTTTTATATTTTTCTGTTTTATCGTTTATACTTTATACCATATCTACCAATGTACTTTGTTACATTTCACAATTAATTTAGATAAATATCTTACAAAAACACTATTACTTTACAGCACTTAAATCATAAAACCAGATAATTAAAAGCCTTCATATTCTTAATAATGACAAATACTTGCAAAAGTAATCAAATAATCTTTACAGTCACTATTAACAACGAGACTTATAACAATTTTAAAAATTTAATAATAAATAAATTAAGATTAAAAAAACTACATTCAAAATCACAAATATAGGTAATCTAAAAAAGGTATTAAAACTAATAATTTATAGACATTTAATTAAAAGTAACTACTAATATAAAATTCATACCGCTTGTTAGTTAAATATCAATCACAATTCATTAAGATTTTTTTGAGGTCGATTTCATGAACTAGTACCTATGATTTCAAATGTAGATTGAACGAGTGTTGCTTGATGTAGACGTTTTCACATTAAAGCAAAATATTTTTTTAAATAGCTTACTGCAATTTTATAATATTCGGAATTACCTTACGTGCAAATAATATACACTCTTCACATTTCAATAAATTTATGCACATGTTGAATCCCTGTGTAGCTGAATTACTTGATATTGTCCTGTAGTCGTACACATATAATGTACGATGTTAATATTTATCTACATGTTATGTAGAAAAACCTTTAGATCCTACAACCTTATAGTATTTTAAATGAAATGACCAAGTGGCCTAGATAAGCTCAGTCGATGACATTGTAACGTTTTTATGTTATGTGTCAATCGTTTTACCGTTATTTCTGATAACCAGATAAATATTATGTACATAATCTATCAGCATCTTATATATTATAAACTAACGAGCTGCGCCTTTTCAATTTTCAATTTTTTCAATTCTCATTGAATCATTCATTGTTTTCATATATTTATTTGATTTCGCGTTGCTAATCACCTAGATTGTCGGCTTAACTATGCCGATTTCATTAGATTTGTTGTCATATTTAATCAAATTAATACAAAACCCTAAAATAATATACCACAGAATCCTAAATTACTGTTCCTATTAATGAAAACTATAAAAACTATAAAAATAATGAATTCGGTACATTTGTAGTTTATCCCGTTCAGACAGACAGTCGATGGGGGACTTATTTAATGATATCAAGGAATATTATAAACATCTTTGTTCTAATTAAAACAAACATAAAACTGTGATCTTCTTACTCTCAACCACCAATGTAGCTGGTGCCTATTTTAATCTCATATGTTAAAATTTTAATTAGATATATCGTCACGATATACTCCTGTATGGCAGTGAAGCCTGGGCAATGAAAAAGACTCATGAACAGAAACTACACACAACAGAAATGCGTATGCTGAGATGGGCAGGAGGAGTCACACTGAAAGATAAGGTCCGAAATGAGTATGTGAGAGGTAGCTTTAAGGTTGCACAAATAGCAGACAAGGTAAAAGAGTCCAGACTAAGATGGTACGGTCACGTGCTTAGAAGACCGGAAGACCATGTCGTGAAGAAGTGTCTTTCCATGGCTGAAAAGAAGAAAGAAAGGGGAGAGGAAGACCCCAAACCACATGGCAGACGAATGTCCTTAAGGATATGAAGGAGATAGGCCTTAGGGGAAGAGGATGCGGAAAACCGAAGCAAATGGCGCCGCGTGATTGGGAAAGCCGACCCCGTGTAACGGGACAAGGCGAGGCCAAAGAAAGAAGATATCGTCACGATAAGACCCATAGCACGGAATAAGTAATTTATTGTGCATTCCTATTAAGCTATCCACTTAATCTATTTCACAGAGGGATATTTTAATTTCATTATAATACTATCATGACATGTGACTATAAATGACAGTTCAGTACTAGGAAATATTATAGGTAAATTTTTCATCACATAATGCAGGAATTAGAATATGAACGGGCAAGGAAACAACTCGTAGCATGACTTCCAAACAAGGCCATGTATATTAACAAAAATATGATCTGAGAATTTTCATGGTAAATGTATATTTGTAATAAACATAAAAACAACATAACAATAATGTACCAATTCACAAGTTAAATACAGAGTCAGCCAAATGTATTAAGTATTAATAATTATTAGTTAATAATTATAAGTATTAGTATTAGTAGTATTAATTGGTATAAAGGGCTAATAATATTCCGATTTTGATAGAAAGTGAAATCTATTATGAGCTTGAAACTTAAAGTGTTTTCGTATTATCTTATCAATTAAATGATTGCTGGTGGGGATTGTATCAGAACACATGACATTTATTGATAGTATTTGTTAGTCATGTTATTTAATTACTGTCTCAATCAAGTAATGGATTAATTACATTAGGTACATCTTTTTATTTTTTTCATCCATGTGTATTTCATTCCGAAATGATCTTTAATTTTCATATTTTATTTAACAACAGCGACTTGCCTCGGCTTCGCGGCCTCTTAAATCGTATCTCTATTGATAAAAATCTAAGATCTAAGCGTACAAGAATGAAAAGCGACTTCATTTTTTGTATGTAACGATTTTGTATGTATCTTTGACGACTAGACCATGTTTTCATCCGACTGGGACTCCGCCCAGCACACGCTGGAAGACTGCCCCGCGTGGGCGTCTGAACGCGAAGTCCTGGTCGGCCAAATCGGAAGAGACCTGTCCCCGCCAGCAATCATTGCTGCCATGCTGGCGGGTGAGGAGGGATGGGGCGCAGTGGTCTCTTTCTGTGAAGCTGTAATGCTCCAGAAAGAGACCGCTGAACGGGATCGGGAGATCGGGAGAGGGCCGATCCTGAGCGTAGAGGACCATACCAGCCGCCGACGGGGCCGCGGGCCGCCAGAGAGTGGGGACCTCTGGTCGCTGATTGAATGTTGCGGTAGGGGATAGGATGGCGGCCTGATTGCATTAAGACGAAATTGGGCCGCCACGTCGCGATTGAGGGGGGAAGTGATTTTCCCCTGGGATAGGGCCTGACTAGGCATGGTGTCAATTCGGGGAGGACCTGAAATAACATGGTCCGGGTCCTCCCAGAGTCTGAGGTCCCAGAGTCTCCCAGAGTCAGAGTCAGAGGCCGGTCGTCGGGGTGGTTTTTAGTGGACCACATTCTCCTAGCTCCTAGCCCCGAGGAGCAGGAGATCCGAAGATTATTCTTATAATGTTATTCTTATTACTACTATTATAAAATCTTATTCTTATATTTATACTACCTGACCCCGCAAACGTTGTTTTGCCATATACATTATGTCGGTTTACCATAGCAGTGCCATCTATTGATTACTTACTCAATCCAGTCAAAAAGTATTTACATCTGTTAGAATCTTTTGGAGTTAACAGATAATTGTGCCAGTCAATTAATTATAGACCAATAATTTGCAATAAAATAAAATTGCGACTATAATTAAAGATCTAAGCTATCCTATCTCTTAAATTGGACCAGACTGCTCACAGTGTGCCAATTTAATTTAAAATCGGTTAAGTAGTTTAGGAGTCCATCGCGGACAAACATCGTGACAGGAGATTTATATATATTAAGATATTAATTAGAGTAGTATGTGTCCTTGTTTTTATCGTGAATATTTAATAAGTTATAAGGAGGGGTAATATATGATCGCATACACTTTTAGAAGTTAGCACATTAAAATATAGTATTTATATTGGGTTTAATAATAAACAGGTCTTATATTATATTGATGATTGATAGTTATCACGCTTTAGTAAAACAAGCGAAACGTTTTGAAAAGAAGTTCCTTATCGCGCGTTACACGCTCTGAGCGGATGGAAGCGAGACCGAAAAATGTGTAACAAGACTTTTTCCCGACACATCAGTTGGCGCGTTGACGCTCATATCTTTTTCATATTTCATATATATAGCGAACGTCTACCAAAAAGAGAAAGGAACTTCGTTCCGACCGGGGCGTCCAAAGACCCCTCATGAGGGGTACTTAAATGCTTTACGTTCCGATCGCATGCCGTTCTTCAAATTTTGAACGTAAAGCAAGCTATAAGATAATTTGCGAAAATCTAGGTTAGCATAGACGCTACACTTTTAATAATGTTTAGTCATAATCCGGAGTTACCTAACATATTGTTTTTTAATTTTTGTTCAGGAAACCTAAAGTGTATGACAATATACTACAATGTATTGGCAATACTCCAATGGTCAGACTCAATCGAATACCTAAAGATTATGGACTGGAATGCGAAATGTGTAAGTATCTACACTTGATAGCACTTATCGATTTATAAGTAGATTATTAAAAACTAGTTTATGGTGAACCTTAACTATTTATTTCTAACACACATATTTTACTTTACTTTTATGCAATCTCCTTTTCATCTTCATTAATCATTATTTTTATTCAATTTATGTAGGTATACGATAAATTTGATATTACAGAGTAATCTAATTGTGATACTAGTTATAAGCTGAACTTTAAATTAACCGATAACGGTAGTATTGTAGCTTTAGCGAAAAAACAAATTGAAACTATAGGTATTTAATACAAAGGATGTTGATGTAACATGCCTATTTCTCTGACAATATCTGTATAAACATATAAAAAACAATGTAAAATGACATTAAAATTCAAAACAATGTTATTTGGTACTGTAGATTTTTACCACGGTAATAGGCTATTAGACTGATTTTAGAAAACCGATTTTATTTATTCCCTGACTTCACGCACAAATACCTAATTGAGAACAAACAAAATAGTCCAGCTAAAGAAAATTCCATCATAGTAAATTAATTGGAATGAAGTAAACTATGTTTTTTATCCTATTATCTATTAGGATTACCAAAATTTGTAGCACATTTCCTGTTGACAAATAGCCTATTACAATGCACAGAAAATAAAGTATTTTTTTTCACAATTGACTCTTGTTTCAAGGTAAGTGTACTTTTAAACATAGGTATAAAATCTGATCACACCTTTCTGTAAGATCCTGTATATGCATAGTCAAGGTAAAATATAGATAAAAAATTACATCAATATTGTTATCAATCTATTCGAAGGTTTAATGTGTTGGTAGGTGGTTTAATCTAATACTTAGAAATACATTGTACCTACATCGTCTACCAATCGTGATCAAAATCTATGTATATATCAACAGTATTTACCTACCAATAAGTTTGAGCCCTGATATGTGGCTTGATTCAATAAATGCCTACATCGTCTAATGCACGTGATAAGTATCTATATTTGTATATCAGGAGTATTTACGTACCACCAAGTTAGAGAACAATTAAACACGTATAATATAAAGATAAATAATATCAATAACAATAATAAATTGTAAATAATATCAATAACAATTGTAAATAATATCAATAACAATACATTATAATACCCAAATATGATGTATTTTGACATATTATTACTTTCATCCTGTGGTTTAAAGCTTTTTGTAACGAAGTTGCGCGTTACACGTAGAGCGAATGAAAGCGAATCCGAAAGATGTGTAACAAGACTTTTTTCCGACAGTTCTTCGTTCTTTTGGAATGGATTTGTCTGCGGTTTTCACCAATAGAGAGAAAGTGATTCTAGAGAAAGGTTTATATGTATATACATGCATATTATGGTAGACAAAATCCATCCAATTTTAGTACTTAAAAGTTTTCGCGAAAATCGAAATTTGCCCATATCTTTTTATCGTGTTGACTCAGGACCTTGATTTTTAAACACCTAATAGGGACCATAGGCCTCAGTATCTAGTATAAATTTCAATTTGCTAGTTCTACCTGTTCCTGAGAAAATCGGTGGTGACACACGGACAGACGGACAAGAAAATGATCTTATAAGGGTTCCTTTTTTTATATAATAATATGGTTTCTCATTACTCGATGACAGCTGTCTGACTGTTTCTTTAGAAAAAAAAAACATCATAAGTTAATCCTATTATGAAGAAATACTGTGGAACATGAAAATGGAGCATCACAATTAATATTTTGTTACAGATGCAAAATGCGAGTTCTTAAACCCTGGAGGGTCGATAAAGGATCGTATTTCATACACTATGGTGCAAGATGGAGAGAGAAGAGGTCTCATTAATTCTAAAAGTAGACTTATAGAGCCAACCTCCGGAAACACCGGCATTGGTGTATCATTGACTTGTGCAGTGCGAGGTAATTGTCACGTATATTTATTTGACAAATCTTTCCTATTTCTCTTTTGATTTTTTATTGAATAAATTTATGATGATCCGTCTTACATTTATTATTATTAATACTTGTTAAACTAAGGCTTATTATGGAAATAGTGGAAGTACGTATGGCACAAAGTAGGTTATAGTAGGCTTTTAAAGTTAAATTCTAAGCCAAATTATTACTTTCAGTTGTAAGTACGAGTAGTTATAATATACCTACCTCGTTGAAAGTTGAAATACATCATTGGTATGCGTATGGAATATTTTTACTCTTCATAACATTTTTAAAGAAATTATTAAAAATAATCCATTGAAAGAATATTCATATTCCATAAACAATGGCTTTTATTATAACTACACCCTATCTTCTTCAACGAGTATGGGACTGCTCCACACAATCTTTTCTGTTAGATTTTAATATCGCTGGGCGAAGTTGTTAATGAACATCCAGTGGAGGTTCTCGATAACTTTAGCCACAATTTTACGATTCTGTAGTCATGGTCAAACTCATGCTCGCAGCTTCCATTCACTTAACTTGTCGAGCTAGGCACATCTTAGCTAAAAATATGTGTGATAAAAAATTATTATTTGTTCTACACAGGTTACGACTGCACCATAGTTACCCCTGATAAAAATTCTGATGAGAAAATGAGTACAATGAGTCTACTTGGTTCCGACATTGTACAAACCCCGGCCATGGCCCATTATGATGATCCCGAAAATTTCGTAGCAGTTACCAACAGGCTGTTACAACACTATCCTAACGGGAGTTTCTATGGATCAGGTAAATAAGAAGTAGTGAAGATCCTTTTAAATCTTGTTTATAAATTTTAATCACTAGTAGGTATGTTTATGTATTAGTGTTGTACTTCTACATGCATTAGCTGTGTATGTAATGAATGACCTAGTCGCAATAATATTTAAATGTCCATTTTACACCATCTGTGGGATGCGATTGAAACGTCGGGTACCGAAGAGGATAATACACAACTAATATTTAATTACTTGCTCTCTTTTAATAGTCTATCACCCAATGCTACCCATATAAGAGAGGAAAAAAAACCTGCACCTGTGATGCAATACCCTATAGCTAAGATTATATCTAACCCAAATATAGCGTTTCGGTTCTTATACTGAAAAACTATACAAGAGAAGATTAAGTACGAGTATTTAATATACTTTGTAATATGCGAGTATAATAAATTAGCATTCAGTTCCTCATATTACTTCTTGTGTCTGGCTGCTAGCATTCGTATTCTGTTCAGAGTTTTATTTAACTATAACATCTATCGCTGCATCATCAATCATGAATAATTCATAATAGTCATCCAAATAGCAATAATGTTAATGTAAAAGCAAATACAATTAGCTATAAAGATTATACACGAATAGCTAGGCGTTATAAATCGAAAAACAAAACATGTTTAATTTATTTACTCTGAACTAACTTTTTTAATGGTCTTGAACGTCTGTTTGTGCGCAGCTGGAAGAATGAGTACATACCTACTCTGGTCCCACAGAAAAATAAAAATATTAGGAGCCTACCATCTCCGGTCTCCTCCTCCTTCATATTCATTTATTTATTTCATTCTCTATGCACAGATTACAATTAATTGTACAATAGCGGATTTAATGCCACACGCATTTTCTCCCAGTCTACCTTTGGGTGATGGGGAAATTTCTGAGTTGGTGCACTAGAAATTAAGTGTTCTGTTTTAAAGAGACAATAATAATTGAGGAGATGGGCAGGAACAGTGGGCTGATATACACACATATATAGTGAATTACACGTACATACATACAAATTTACACAAATAATACGACAGTTAAAAGTTTAAGGATGTGATAAATCTGCTAGTGTCTTAAATGCGAGTTTTAAATGAGAGGTGGCCGGGTACTAATCCTGATTTTGAGAGATAGAGCTTTCCATATAGCATTTATTTTATATATGTATTAAGAAGTACATGGATAATTATGGTTTCTGTACGCGGCTGCGTTGCGATGCAGCTATCCACGCTACGCGAGCGTTTGCGATGAACCCGGAGAACAAGGCCAGCATCTTGCTCAAGCTTGACATTCGCATCGAACTTAACACTTTGAAGAGGGACGTTCTGTTGAGGGAGGTTAGGAAAATATTCCCTCTCTCTTTCCATTTCTTCACCAGGTTTGCAGTCTTCCGTCTATTTTTTTTTAACAATAATCTTATTCTTTCTCAAGTAGGAGCTCAGCAAAAAGACCCGTTGGGACCACTCGTTTTTAGCTTGTCTATTAACAAAGTGATTACTGAACTCAAATCTCCTTTTAACGTATGGTACCTGGATGATGGCACTATTGAGGTAAGGCGGAAGACGTATCACAGAATTTAGATGCCCTCATTCCTCGCCTCAAAGACCTGGGTCTGGAGGGGAACTCCTCGAAGCGTGAATTTTTCCCCTGTATCGTTGGTGCTCGTATACACTTCTCTCGTTTAAATACAATTTTACGAGGCCTCAAAGAACTATCTTCTTTAGATTTCATCCTGTTAGGTTCTCTCATTTTTCTTAGCGCAGTTCCTGAGGCCATAACATCTAGGATACATCTGCTCCTTACCATTAAAGAACGCCTGAAAGACCTTTCCGCTCATGTTGCGTTTCTGGTTCGCCCTGCGGAAAATTAATTATCTGCTTGGCTTTGCCCCGACGAAGTTCTGTCATTTAACAAAGCTCTGAAGTCAGTCGTAGAATCGCCAAGTGCCTGATTTGAGCCGCTACTTGTGTCAACACTGTTGTCGCTAGCCATCTGAATCCACCATCCACTTCTCGTTCTACGCCGTGGAAAGCACTTGTTCTAAAAAGAGTTAAAAGTATGCAGCTTTGAGTGAGTTTTACTATTTCGTTCCTGTGGCGGAGACCGTTAGCAGGTAGGGTGCTGACACTAAAAAAAATTAGGTCGAAAACTCACAGAAGTCAATATTGACTCTCGCTTCGTTTCGTTCCTGGTGCAAAGGTTGGCTATTGCTATTCAACGCGGCAATGCAGCAAGTGCGATTGGTACTTTTCAACAGAAACGATCAGGGACGTGTTAATTTAATTAAAACTTTGTTTGTGTAAATTTGCTCGTCCTCACGTACCGCCGCCCATGGACACCTGCAACTCAAGGGTCACAAGTGCATAATGAGGCCGTAATATCACTTCGTTAGAGCTCTCCTAAGATAAGATTAACTTAAAATATAATGTTTGAAATATCGTTTTAAAAAACATGTTGAGTTTTAATATTTCAGTACAAAAACGACGTGAATCCACGCACTCACTACGAGGCGACAGCTGAAGAAATAATAGACGCTGTTGGAACTGTAGACATGTTTGTAATGGGCACTGGCACTGGAGGCACAGTCACTGGTGTGGCCAAGCGACTAAAGGAACACAACCCAAATTGCGTAATCGTTACTGTCGATCCAAAAGGCTCCATTATATTCGGTGAAGGGAAGCCTGTCCTGTTTTTCGTAAGTTAACTCTTATTTATAAATAATATTTTATTCCTAATTTCGATGTTCCGATTTTCAAAAATAATAAGAAGAATCATAATGTCTATTATTAAATTTGGCGAAATTTATTTTACCGAAGGTCGTAAATGCGATGTATTTGCCGATTTTTAGACGTTCGAAGAATCAAATGCTCGATGGATTCTCGGTCCGAAAAACGACATTCCTATTTTCAATTCTTCGAATAAACTGCTAAAATTAAGATTCTGATTCTGATTCAGTTAGATGTATCCAGTTATCTAAGAATATTCAGTTACGCATATATATTCAAAAGCTATAAGTAACGTTTAATGTAATTAAAAAACGTATACTTTGTTTTCAATATCTGTGTATTTCTTTTTGTGTTTCTAAACTGTTTCCATTTCATGATTAATAAATAAATATTTGAATGCCCTGTTAAGACCAACTTAGTTAATTACTTAGAAGCAAGCTGACAGATTTTAGCCTACCAAAATCAAAGTAAGGCGTGCTGTTTATTCATAATAAAATCCTTACAAAGACCTGGGAATTATAACAAGTCTTGATTTCTAAAATCTTGACATAATACTTATTTGTATAACATAGCATAGATCTTCTAATTTTAACATGTTTGATTCGAATTTAAAATGATTATGTATCGTCACTGTAGCTATACTATTTACTGATGTAAAGAATTACATCCATACTTAGGCTTTTCATAAACATAATACATTACAATCATTTTAACGCAGCCTCATCATATTTAATATGAATTTCAGGTTGAAGGAATTGGAGGCGATTTCGTACCAGATGTTTTAGATAAATCAGTTATTGATAAAGTCGTGGCCCCTAATGATTACCAGGCCTTCAACATGTCAAGGGAGATTATTAAGAAAGAAGGATTATTGTGCGGTAAGAGATGTTTTGACAATTTTTCAAGATAAAGTTTAAAATCCTTTTTAAAAAAAAAAGTTTAATGTTGTATACGAAAATAAAAATCCTTCGCCGTTAGAACTGTTTCTACTTATGTCTATAAATTGCTAAGGCGATATTATTACACTGTTATAACAGGTCTCATTATAATACAATCAATTATAGCATAGAAGGCTGAAGGTCAGCCATTAGTATTTTTATTCAATAGTCATCTTCAGTCGAGTTATTGTATGAATGTGCTATTATATAGATACTTATTATAGCTATGACATCGGTGTAAATGATGATTAGAGTCAGATAATAAACCAATTTTGCCTTACCTTATATTCTTACCTCATACTTAAGAGGTTTTTGCTTGCGGCTTCGTTTGATATACCAATAATTTGCCTAACCCTTAGGACTAGTATTTTTCTGGATGTTTTACATTTATAATATTACTTAGGATATTTGTTACGCTTCATATAGTCAGGCATTTACATGAATAGTAAGTTAAATGGTATTGGCAGGTGGGAGCAGTGGAGCTATAACATACTCTGCAATACAGGCCGCCAAGGAGTTGAACTTTGGACCGGATAAAAAAGTGGTTCTGGTCCTACCCGATGGCATCCGCAACTACATGACAAAATTTGTTTGCGATCAGTGGATGGAAGCGCATTTGTTTAAAAAACCTCCAAACCGAGAATTTAAGTAAGTATGTATTTTAAATCAAGGTTAGAGACATTAGTCACATACAATAATATATTTTTATTTTTCAAAATAAATTAAGAAGAAAATCTTAGTATCGGTAACAGTAGGCTAAAATAATGAGAAAGCCACTTTTACCTTTCTCAGGCACTGATTAGTTTTCGATTTACAAAAATAAAGTAAGAAATAAATGTAGCCAGAAGAATCTATTCCAAAATTCTTTACACATTCTATTCATTTCTGCCTGCACGGATGGCGTAGTGGTTTAAGCGGTCACCTCGCCGCTTCCTACTGCGCTTAGTGCTGTGGGTTCGATCTCAACATGGGACAAAACTTTGTGATTCGCAAATTATTGTTGTGAGTCTGGGTGTTCTTTGTGTCCGTTTCAAGTATGTTTACACACTTGCGGGGACACAGGCGGGCGTTCTCTTTTTTTTATAAAATGAACTCTTTTAAGTAATTTAGTTATGACAACTGCCCAATGACTCCTAAATTCAAGTGTCTGATATGATATTTACCTACAATTTCAGGTGGTTCAATAGATCTATTTCGGAATTGAAAGTGAACCTCTCGGTACCTACCGTCAAAGGCGACAAGTCATGCATGGATGCCTTATTAGCTATGGATCATGGCAACAACGTTGCATTCATCGTTGATGATGACGGGTATGTAGCTTGCAGTAAGGAAAACTATCATATCTGACGGCAAAATAACATTTCTACGATTTCTTGGAGTGTTATAAGAGCTGCTATTCTCTTCCATGCAGTCATCATCTCAAATTACGAAAAGGCTTAATTTTGAATAAATATTTAATATATATGGACAACATGCTCTTCCATTCCCACCTAAGATTAATTTTGTGTCAAAAGTGGACCACGGTACGACATTAAAGCCATGGACTTTTTTGTGAATGCTGCATGACCGTTTCCATTCTGAAAAAACCTTGCTGATTTTGGAATGTGTTAAATATGGCATGATTTATAAATTATGTTATCATTATGCGAATGTATAAACAATAAAAACCCCAAATATTTTTAATTTAAATATTGCCTCTCATTCTTTACTGCTTCTTTAAAATGTTGAATGTGTTTTCAGATACTTACAAGGTGTTGTAACCAAAGACAGTTTAAGATCTGAAGCTACGAACCCTAAATCAGGAGGAAGACTTAACTTTAACAATAAAGTTATTAAACATGTTATGAAGAAATACTATAAAATCGCAAATAATGACAAGTCTACAATCGGCCTTGCCTCTAGAATATTAGATATAGCGCCTTTCGTAGTCATCGTAGAAGAAAAACTAAATGGCAACAATAATGTGACAGGTAATTTGGCTGAGTCATAAATATTTAGTGCATTAATCCAAAATTGTTACCCTAAAAACTGTACATAAGTTACAAATAATCTTTACATTTTGCAGGTGCTATACCAAAGGGTATTATAACACCAGAGATCGTCATGGACTATATTATCAACAACCAATAAATATCAAACTATAATGTGTAATAATGAGTTTAATATAATTACTTAACTAACTATCATAAGCTATAAGTATTATAATGTTATGTTATGATTATTTTAATAAAAATTAAGAAGCAATTCAAACTTGTTCTTTTAATTTCTGCTGTATTTGAAATCCAACTGCCGAGTACTACTTGATCTATTCCAATTGGACTCTACGAAGAATCAAAAAGCACGTAAACTGCCAATAAGATAGGTAGTTTTTATCACATCACCTCGCTTTAAGAGCACTTTTGCTAAGTACCACGGGGAGCTTAGAATCCCTTTCAAAGTCATATCGAGCAACGTCCAGTTTTACGGTAATTTAGACCATGAGGCCAAAATAATAGCCTCAAAGAAGCTTGGTGAGCTGAAAAGGTCTAGACAGAATTTGACTCTGGCCCACCGCCTACCACTTCATAAGGATGTGGCGACTTCCACATACGGCGAAACGAATAAACATACTACAGCGCCATCTAACAAGAAGATACACCGACCTACAGATCAAAAATTAAATACAAGTCTTTACCAGATGACTTTACGAAATAAAACTTGTTTTCTAATATTCTGCCATCGCGCATCTATCATGAGTAGGTATTTCGTGATAAAGCATGTTTGGTAAAATAGATGTATTGGGCACCTTTTTTTTTTTCTCTTTATTTCTGTGCGGAAATCCCCTGGGATACCACTTACCGGTGGCAATGTCGGACTCGAACCGACTAAAACCGCACGCCGTCTCAGGTACCAGTAGTCGGGGAACCAGATGTACCCTAGAAAGGAAATCCCTGGTGCTCCGACGTACCTCGGGCCATCTCCGGCGGGTAGACGACCCTCCCTGTGTGGGAACCCCCATGTTCCCTCTGTGCTCCCGGAAGGGCGCGCGCGCTTAATAACGCGCTCGCCGTCACCCCGGCCTGCTTCTGCTCGGGTGACAGCTGGCCTCACCTGTCACTCCAGGCCTGCGCTTAGGGAGGACGGAGGTCGTTCTGCGACCCTCGGCGCCTGAGTCGTCTGCGGTGCCTGGCCCGTTCCCGAGCCTGGCGGGCCGGGAGAGTTCTAAACCTCTTCCGGTCCCGCTCCGCCATCTCCTTCGCAAACATAACTTGCTCGCAGAAGGAGACCGCAGAGTTCAAAAGAGGCCTCGCTGATTGGACTTCGCCCACATCTGAATTAGTCCACGCTACGCCTCTGCTTCCAACTGTGTTGTGGGTTAGATCCCCACATGCGAACAGACTTTGTGAGATCCACAAATTCTGTCAATTCAAATTCAAATCTGAGTCTGGGTGTTCTTAGTGTTCATGAATGTTTGTGAAGTTCCCCGCGACACAGGATAAATTACTAATGCGTAGTTAAAAGAAAAAAAAATGGTTAAGGTTATACAGGTAAAAGTAAAAAGACTGCACGGATGGCGTAGTGGTTTAGGCGGTCGCCACGCCGCTTGCTACTACGCTGAGTGTTGTGGGTGTGATCCCACATCGGACGACACTTTGTGTGATCCACAAATTGTTGTTCTGAGTTTTTTCTGTTCTCAATTTTTTGCACATATAGAGTATTTCAAAATTTTAATGAGCAGTCAGAATCATAGTCGAATAAATAAAATCGATGGAACGATATTAAACTGAAAAGACATAACATCGATGTAAAAACGTCACAGTATCGACCATAGAGATATCAGCATAGAGTAAACAAGAGCTCTAATATTGTAATACAGGCTAATGATGCGCAAAATGTATCACTGAAATGAAAAGATCCATACATATCATTTAGCTCTAAAGATATATATCACTAGCTCATTAAACTCACTAGCTCAGTGATCCAATTTATTACGCCACGCCGTCTCAGGTACCAGTGGTCGCGGAACCACTTGTACCCTAGAAAGGAAATCCTTGGAATATTTAACACCCTTTTACAAAATAATAAATTAATTTATTTTTTACTTTTTTAAGGTTGTGATATTAGAAATAATACAAATTAAATAGTTTTTCCCTCATACTTGGCAGGCTTGATTCTCAAATGATATTTGATCCTGTAAAAATAATGTATATTTTGGGTAAAGAAACTAAATTAGCTCGAAGTCAACCATCATCTATCTCACTCATTTATCTTTGGTAGAACTCGGTCATGAAACGAAGATAGGCGTCGTTGATCTAGTTAATTAGTGATCCAGTGAGCTATAACTGAGTTACTTATACATTCGGAGCTAGTGTAACTTTTAGATCACTCGCTCAGGAGCACACAACTCTACGAGTTCGTTATACAGGAACGAGAGATGGATAATAGTTAGTTCACTTTATCTCTTTCTAGTCGAGCTCTGTGGATGGGTTGGAAAAATTTCTAATCTCCCTCCTGTTCTACCATCAAAACCATGCCCACTTCATGATAGCCAATCGCAGCGTAGCTTAACAGAGACAGAGGGAACTATCGGGCATCCATTCTCTCGTTGCCTGTATCGCTTCCACTTACAGGCAGCTGCACACCGTATTCTCTCTATGCGTATATCTCTATGGTTTTCACTTTAAGTATTGTTCTTCTTACATCGGTGAATTTCGACATTTGCTACATTATTTATAGTAATCTGTGAGACTGTGATGGACTCATTGGATCGACATCCCTAAATTGTCATTATTTTTTTTCACACTGAGAGGCGGTCGGGCTTGTAGTTTGCACAGAGTACATTGGTAGTTTGTGATGATAGTTTAAGCAATGTGGTGCGAGTGTAGTATGTGTATGTAGACGAAGCCGGTCAATAATTAATTTACCTATTATACACAATCTCTAGTTTTTACTTGTGGTAATATCAAGTCTAACCAATATTAGTGATAAAAACTTTATCAAAGTTACTTTTTTTGTCCTTCGTCCTCGTCTCTTAACGCAAGCACCACTTTTTAATATTATTTGTTAACATATAACTGAAATCAATTTATACAAAAGTGGAAAATGTCTATTAATGTGGAAACTAATAATACCGTCGAAAGTGCGGCGAGGAAATTTTTTAACCTCAAGGAAATGCCGCACATTGTAAAAACCCTGTGAGTATAGCAAATTAACAATTAAACTTGTACTAATTAAAAATATGGCATAATTATATAAAGATACTACTACTCTTTTAGTGATAGAAACCAGAAAATCTATGGTGATATATTGAATGTTATTGGTAATACACCATTGGTAAGGCTCACAAATATCCCTAAAGACGAAGGATTAAAATGCGAAATGTGTAAGTATAGTTAATCATAAAATTATAACAGTCTCGTTTTAAATGCTTATTTATAAAAGACTGAAATAAAATGGATGCACAGACGGCGTAGTTGATTAGTGGTCATCTAGCCGCAGACTGAGTGTTGTGGGTTTAATCTCATCATGGACAATACTGTGTGATCCTCAAATTGTTGTTCTGATTCTGGGTGTTCTTTGTGTCTCTTTCATTAATGTATGTAAAGTCTCCCGCGACAAAGATATATTCCTAGTGCGGAAGTTGCCTTCAAAAAAAAACTGTGCTGATATATCATCTATTGACAGATGCAAAATGTGAGTTCTTAAATCCTGGAGGCTCTGTAAAAGATCGTATTGCCTATCGAATGGTTTTGAATGCTGAACAAAATGGCACTCTGAAACCAGGCAAATCGGTCATTGTGGAGCCTACATCTGGTAATACTGGCATTGGGCTGGCCCTTGCTGCTGCAGTTAAAGGTAACATATTCAAAATCCAATTATAAACTTGATTGTTTACTATTGTTATACAAATAAAGTATCATCAGGTTTGTGATACACAAGTACAATAAGGGCTTAAGAAGAATTGCCTACAACCATGCTTTAACTTCTTGTTTTGAACCTTATCATATTAGGACTCCATACTGATTTCATTTTTAAACTATCAACAGGTTACAGGTGTATCATAGTTTTACCAGAAAAAATGTCAGATGAGAAAGTAAATACCCTGGTAGCACTGGGTGCTGAAATTGTCCGTACCCCAACTGAAGCTGCATGGGATGATCCAGAGAGTAATATCATGGTGGCACGTAGACTTGCTAAAGAAATCCCTGATGCTGTACTTTTGGATCAGGTAACTCTTGGCAGTCAATCTCATCTTTTCATGACATTATTAAATTGTCATTGTTTGCATATTCATATCCTTAATTTATCCAAAAAGAGCTAATTTACCTGCAAAACTTTTCTTAATCTAAATACATTTCTAATAACCATTTATTTATTACAGTACAATAATCCTTGCAACCCTTTGGCGCATTACGATGGAACTGCCGAAGAGATCTTATGGTCAATGGATGATAAAGTTGACATGGTTGTTATTGGTGCAGGTACATGTGGTACAATATCTGGTGTAGCACATAAGATCAAGGAGCGTTGTCCTACCTGCCAGATTGTTGGTGTTGACCCGTATGGGTCTATTCTAGCACAACCAGAAGAGTTAAATGCGTCAGATGTGCAAGTATATGAGGTAAGAAATAAGTTTTTCGTAATTTGAATTAACTTTGCATTAATGTGCACCAAACATCCTTACTTAACAGTGAGGAGCTACAAAATCCGAAAATGTTTATAGTAAATACACATTCCATCATGTTAATGATGGAATGTGTATTTACTATAAACATTTTCGGGTTTTGTAGCTTATTATGACAATGTAGATTATTGCTTAAAGAGTTTGTCCCCTATTGGACCATAAAATACCAACTCACAGTTAAAACAGTACAAGATTTTATTAAGTATGACTGAAAATTTACAAATATAATTGAACTTTGCCTTAGAAGGAAGCCTCCGACAAAACGGCAGACCTTGGCCGTCTGTTATGACGAGGCGGCTAATGTCTGCAAAACCATTACTATATACTAATTAAAAAGCTATACCCACGAATATAGTTGGCAGAATTACCAACTCAATAGTACACCTCCCTATTTACAGTGTACAAATATAAAGTCTATGTATGTATTTATGTGTATTTATATCTATATATGTATATGTGTGTAATTATATATGTTAGTTATAACTACTATAGCAACTGCAACCTCACTTACCTAACTCCCTACCAGATTTCTACACCACCCAAAGGTTGACTGGTAGAGAATGCCCTGGGCATTATGTCCGCCGTTATACACTAGTGCATAAACTGCTTATGGGAAAAAATCATCATCATCATCTCGATAAGCTGTTGGACCTTAATAATAATAAAAAGAGGCTATTCTAGATTAAATAATATATATATTTATACTTCAATGTGAATATATATATATATATTAAATATAAAAATACTCAACCTCGAATCGAATACAAAAGAGCATACTCATTTCCGCCTTAAAGGCCGGCAACGAACTTGTGACTCTCGAGTTGCAGATGTCACTTACCATCAAGTTCGCGTCTCTAAGGAGGGAGCTAGGGACTCCTCTATATTATAAAAAAAAAATAGTTTTAAAAAACTAAAAAAAACACGCTTTCTATAGAAAACCAAACTAAAAAATAGAAAATAAATTTGAAAAAAAGCGTTGGGTGCCTGTTTTCAAAAGTAAAAAGCACCCCACGCTTTTTTTGAAATTTTTAAATTAGTGTATTGTCATCGGTCCTCGATATATCTACAAAGTTTGAACGAATTCTGACCGTTTAAAGTGAAGCTAATATAAAGCGTGTAAAAAGTTAGCGAAGTCGTAAATAATAAATAAGAACTTGATACAATTGAAATTATTACTAGCAATCAATAACTCTTAAAAATAAATATTTGTGATACTGTATCATAGTTATCAATATAGCGTCGAGATGTATATAGTTAGATAATATAAATGTTTGGTTCCACTTCGTTGCATCCGTTTCTAACATAAGCACAGTTAACGATAAGCACTGAATAATAATATTTTCATCAGCTAAGTATGATGCATGGTTACATCATCTTTTCCAATGTACTGTACTTATGATTCAATAATTATGTAAGTTATTAATGTTTTCATGTATTTATTACGTAATTCTCCAACGTGTACGTTATTGATATAATTAACTATATTATAGTCGTATTACGGGCTAATCGACGAACGTTACGGTTTTGTGGAAGTATGCTGTCTTCTTTGCATATGCAGCCATAAAATTAAGTCAAATGAAAAATATACACCTACACCTTTAAATTATGATAAAGACTATCAAACAATTAAACGAGAAATAAACTCCAATTAAACTAAATTAAATGTTGAGTTAAATTAAGTTTTAGGTGAAATTGATAAATTGATAATAGTAATTTTAATGTTCTTTCATTTTGTTTAAATTAAAGGACTTATGTTAAGTTTATTCAACTTGATTTTCCACAAGAAATAAGCACATGTTCCTAATAATTAACTACCTCCATTATATGAAGCTTTGGCAAGGCAACTCACTAGTAGATAAAACTGGATTAGCCTAGTAATGCTGCATTGAAGCAGACAAGGAGCTCCAATATGAATGAAAAAGTAGCTCTTGTTGTTCTAGCTTCCTTGCACAAAGCTTTCATAATCTGCTTTAAATATTAGTTTAAAATAGAACAACGAAATTTATTTTATTATCTCTAGATTCAGGTCCATTGGTATCTATTTCTGGAAGGTATGCCTACATTGATATAATTGTAATCTTTAATGATAAGATAATACGTGATTTTTACATTTTTAAACCTAATAATAAAAATATGTATATCTAAATATTTAATGAAACCGTGGGCAAAAATAGCACATGCCATACTATTATATGATTTACTATGTTTTTTTTAACTTTAAGTAATGACTTGATATAAATAAAATAAATGGTTTAGTGACTTCAAATAATTTATATACTTACTGAAAATCTTGTTTGAGAAATGATTATACAAATACAAGGCAATTTCCGAGTGGTGAAGGATAAAGAATACGGAGTGTCAGCACCCCTATTCATCCCGTGGGTGTCGTAAGAGCCGACTAAGGGTACTAACTACGCAGGACAACAGCACTCCAAAGAGAAGGAAAACTTGAAACAAACCTTATACCAACCCGTCTGGCCAGTCTGGTATAGTAGGCCAAAACCTCTTTTCTAAAGATGGCCTATGTTCAGCAGTGGACTATTAAAGGCTGTTGATGATGAGGATATGATGTGAAGGCAATGTAGATCTTCTAATTATTTTTCAGCTCTTCAGCTTTAAAAAACCTTCAAACATAAATATACGTCTATGTTTTTGTTCCCACAATTTACTCATAGATAAATTTACCCTAATATAGTCATAGTAGATAAACATAGTCATTATTATTGTTTTTCATTTATTTCGGACCGAGATCCGAAGTATATTGTTAGTTTTACCTAATCTTAGTAAAAACTAGTACAAAACACATAAAAACAGATTATTTACACAATATTAAGGACCACAATATAATGACTACGTATACTATACATATACGCATTACTAACAATGTTTAGAGCCCACACTATAAACAAACCTTAACATAAATTATTACTTTTAAAGGACAACTTTGTTAAACTTATTATACCCAAAAACACAACACTCAATAAAGTTGGGTTGGTTAGTTAAATTGTTAAAATTGGGACTGTTGTCCCAATATTAATTGTTAAAATTGGGACTGTTGTCTGAATTTTAACAATTTAATTAAATTTTGCCATTTGTATCGAAAGGTTGAAGGAATCGGCTACGACTTTCTTCCCGGCGCACTTGACAGAACTGTCATTGACAAATGGGTGAAGACTGACGATAAAACATCGCTGGAAATGGCAAGAAGGCTCATCAAAGACGAAGGACTACTTTGCGGTACTAAATACAATTTTATGTTAAATTCTATTAAAAGTAAAACGACATACGTCACAGGCGTGGAGAGTATAACAGTTATTAAAGATATATGGTTATTATTACGTTACAATTTTGGGGATGTTAGATTAATTGCGGCCCAACAGAAAGAGATTTATAAAGGGGAGATGTGACCCGCCAAGTCTATATCAGTCACCACGCTCATAAGGGCTAAAGTACTAATTATGATGTTGCTTCTTTGAAGCATGATTTATTAATTGCTGTACTTTGTCATATCACACTTTTTTTTAATTAGTTCGTTCTTTTCCCAAAAGTTTCGATTACATTGCTATTTAGAAGTGTGTTAATGTGAAAAAGTAGGTGATTTGTTAAGAATTATTAAATTTGGTCTAGGTGGGAGCAGCGGTTCAGCAATGTGGGGAGCCGTGCAAGCAGCCAGATCATTGAAGGAAAGTCAGAAATGCGTGGTATTGCTACCAGACAACATCCGTAATTACATGACCAAATTCATTTCCGACCAATGGTTGGAGGCCCGCGACTTCAAACCACTACTCAAGAAGGAAAATCTTCCGTAAGTCATTATAATTTTCTTGTTATATTTTTATTTATGTCATCCACTCAAAACTCGATTTAGGCAGTAAAAAGAGCATTTTTTCTATAAATAGTGTTTTAGTAAAGAAAATTTTCTGAAACAAAAATATCACTTATAAATACAAGTATTACTTGTAAATACTACTAAAATACGCTTGCACTAAATATATACTAATAAAGTATAATTTATTCAATTGATAACATTTTAAGTGAACGTTGACGCACTCAATGTGATAATTTTGGGCATTTGGTTATTTTACATATTATGTATGCGACACAAACTCGTTGTAGTCACCTACATTCTCAAAATGCATTAATGAAATACCTAGTCTATTTTAAATTTTGTTCAGGCCGTACTTCACGAAATAAAAGAGATTGTTCCGTCTTATGGAGATCTTTTAAGTGTGACGCATTATACATAAAAGAGGCACGTGGATTATTGATGCGAACCATACAATGCATATTGTTACGTGTTAGGGTTTGTTGATTCGGAATAATAAGCCTTCTTACGACTAAAGAGACTTTATTATTACTTTAAGACGTTCACACAATACTCAATAGTAATCCGAAATGATCGCCGAGGTCGTTAGGTTACACTTATATTCACTTCGATCGCTTTGATGTTTATCGCACTGTAGCTGAAACTGAACTGACTCAAAATAACACGTGTCTGTATTTATAATACTCGTAAAGGAACATTCCAGTAATTTTCCATCGAACTTTAGCGATGTTTCGTGACAATATAAGAAAGAAAAATTCAAAATCAGCTCCAGGGCCTGATGATATACCATATATGTATAGTATATAAAAAATGTGCATCAGTGCGTAAACACCTTCTATTCGGCAAGATCTGGTCAAGCAAAGAAATACCAACAACCTTTGGAAAGGCTAATTTTGTGCTCATTCCTAAGAAAAGTGTAGTAGATCCTAAGAGTTATCAAAATGCATGTCTTGTCAAAATCACAAGACGAAATCGTTAGATCCCTTCCAAAAAACAAAACTTTATCAGAGCTCGAGTCACGGCTCCAATTCCACAAGAAATTCATGGTGGGTAAGCAGTCCAGTAAAATTGGATTGGGAAATGCTGGAAGACAGACCGACAAAGAGATAACAGAATCTTTCCTACAACAAGATGAAAACGAGACCTACAAGGTGCACGCAATGAACCTAGAAATTCAGAATTAATGGTTAACTCTAGGAGAATTTTGTATCCCACTAGCTTTGTAATGGCGCACACTTTCATACGATTGGTCGGCTGCCCTGTTCAAATTTTACCTCAACGTCTTTCAATTGACTCTCCCCGATCAAAGCAACCTAGTAAGGTGGGGAAAAGCTAAAGAAAAGGCTTGTACGATGTGCAGTGCGGAAATAGGTACATGCACTTACAGACAGGTTGTAAGGCGCTATTAAACCGTGGTCATTATTCACGTCGCTATGATAGGGCATTACAAATCATAGGCGAAGCTATAAGTTTATCGCTAATAACAACAAACATAAGAACTAACATAGCGTTTGTAAAGGAAGGCTCAACAAAAAAGACTTCACAAAAACCGTACCCAATTATAAATACCGCCAGTGACTGGACATTATTAGTAGATACGTATGTAAATCATTACAGGATACCGGAGGATATCTGTGCCTCGGCGTCCAGATCAGACATATTTCAATTAAGCGTCTAGTACTAGTAGAACTCACGATGCCGTGGGAAACGAACATCCCTAAAGACCACGCTTTAAAAAGAAACAAGTACTTTGACTTAACCAACGAAATAACTAAAATAGGTTATGTCGTTGCGTTGTATGCCGTGGAAGTAGGTGTGAGACGTATATCAGCTAAATCCCTCTATAACCTGCTTGAAGACCTTGGATTGCCAAGTGCTTCAGTAAGCTCTTTTCTTGAATGAGTATCCAAAGGATAGCATTCCTAGGATCAAACTCAAACTCTCTTTATTTCATAAAATTTTCAAAATTGTTTGAAATCGTCTTTTATGTAGACTCTAAAGTCATAGATCAACACACACCAAAGCAACAATCTCTGTTTTGTCAAAAGTTAAGCAAATAAATTTAACAAAAATCAAACCCATACAAAATCTCTGATATGCCTGTGCCGATCTACAACCGCCCGTTTCCAAGGGGTTGAGCCTTATGAGAAGAAAGGGCAAACTAACTCATGGCCACTCTTTTGCAATTCACAGATAGATACAATGGCACTATTAAATATACCACAACATTGTTTTGATGTGTTCTAGTATGTCCGTTATTAAGGACTAAAAGGTAAAAAGACAATGAAGAGAAAACAAGATTAAGAAAAAAAACGAATACAAGAGAAAATGAAGCGAAACATAAAAAATAGAAAAAAAATATATAAAAAAACACACTAGCCACACCACATTTTTACTTAAGAAAGAAATAGCCTGCGCTAATTAATCCCAAGCATTCTTGTCCTCCATGTAATGCACAATCGAGTAGTAGGCCCTCTGGCACAAGCCACGTTTTATGGCGGATTTAAATTCGTTAATACTTAACTCTTGAATATTATTTGACGACCGGATAGCGTAGTGGTTTGTGTAACGGACTGCTATTCCAAAGGTCGCGGGTTCGATTCCCGCTCAAGTCAAACATTTGTGTGCATGAACATTTAATGTTTGATTTGGTCTGGGTGTTTCTATATATAATATGTATGTATTTACAAAAAAAAAGTATATATGTATTTATATAAGTTGTCTAGTACCCATAGTAGCTACAAGCTCTGCTTAGTTTGGGACTAGATGGCGTTGTGTGAATGTAGTAAAATATATTATTATTATTATATATATTTGGGATTTTATTATAAAATCGGACACATTGACCTCGAAAAGACTTGTTTATCTTTTGGAGCCTAGAGGCGGGTACTACAAGCTTATTTTTACTCCTGCTATTTATGGCATGTACATCACTTTTACAAAAAGCTATCTTTGTTTTTATGAACATATACTACATTTTCATAAATATATTGACTTGCCACTGTCATTATATTTATTTCTTTAAATTTCTGCCTCAATGAACAACCATTGCCTAAATAATAAAGTGCTCGAATCGCTCTCTTTTGCAGCACAAAAATAGTTTGAATGTCGGCAGCATTCCCCCACAGCAGAATACCGTACGACATTATGCTATGAAAATAACTGAAGTAAACAAGTCGTGCTGTATCAACATCAGTCAATTCTCGAATTTTCCTTACTGCGTATGCTGCTGAGCTGAGTCTACTCGACAAGTTATCAATATGTGGGCCCCACTGTAGCTTAGAATCTAGTGTTATACCTAAAAATGTCGTAGTGTCCACAAGGTCCAGCCCGACATCCTTAATTATCACAGTAGTTTTCACTGGTTTGACGTTTGGCATAGTGAAACGTATACACTTAGTTTTTTGTTCATTTAATAGTAAATTGTTGACGTCAAACATATGAACCACTTTCGAGATGGCGCTGTTTACGAATGTGAAATCAGGGAGTGTCCGTTTTACTCTAAATAATAGTGATGTATCATCTGCAAACAACACAATCTCGAGATTGTCCTTGACAAAGTGAGGTAAGTCATTAATATATACTAAAAACAAAAAAGGGCCGAGAATAGAACCCTGTGGAACGCCCATTTCTACCACAGAGCCTGGAGACCGCTCACCATTAATATCAACTTTTTGAATCCTATTACATAGATATGAGGCAAGAAGTTCCAGGGCTTTATTTTTGATACCACAGTGCTGTAATTGCCTGATCAGCGTTTCATGAACAACACAATCAAAAGCCTTAGATAAATCGCAAAAGATGCCTAGAGAATCGTGGGCATCCTCCCAGGCATCAAATATATCTTTAACTAACTCAACACTGGCACCAGTTGTGGAGCGAGCCCTTGTAAAACCAAATTGTCTATTGTGTAATAAATTATTATTATTAAAAAAACTTTGCAATTCATACATAATTTTTCCACAATTTTGCTAAATACTGGTAGTGCTGAGATAGGTCTAAAGTTAGTTGGGTCAGGTGTACTACCAGATTTGAATAAGGGAATAATTTTACTAGACTTCATAAGATCATTAAATACACCACTATCAACACATTGATTAAAATGACAATTGATTAGCCACAAGAGATACAATAAATTGTCTTAGTAATTAAAACAGAATTTCCCCATAGGTCGTTTGTTTTTTTAAATATTAATAGTGTTAAAGGCTTTAATAATTTCAAAAGGGGACACATATTGGAACTTAAATTCACTATCAATCCTACTAACATTCTCTTTTAAAATTGATTCTGCAAGGCATGGTGAGGTAAAAAAAAATCTCAAATGCAGCAGCAACCTCAGTATTTGATGTGATAAATTTATCGTTTATGTTTAAATTAAATTCATTATCACGGCATTGATTTTTGCCAGTTTCACTATTAATAGTTTTCCAAGTGGTTTTAATCTTATGATTGCTACTTTTAATCTTTGAACTTATAAAACGAGACTTAGCCAGTTTACAACGTTTCCTAAATCGATCGTTTCCTAAAGTTTCCTAGATCTTATCAAATATGGTTAAGGTAACACAGCAGACAGTGGAGGTAAGCGCTGACTCGTCGCAAGGAGTACTCCCTAAACCTATACCTGGGTCGCAAGTCACAGGCGCGGTCGAAGTCGCATGTGTGGCCCCCATGTATTACTCGATGGACCCGGCACCCACACGGTGAATCCATGGAACGCTAAGAAATAGGTCTTAAGTGCGTATAAACGATTGTTATTCTGTTCTCACCATTAAATACACTTTGGTGTCATTTTACATAAACAAAGAAAGAAAATGTTAAAAGGATCGGGCTAACTTTGTTCCCATCTGACAAATAGAGAGCTCTAACGTAAAGGATTTAAGAAGGATTAAGAGCCTGCATCTTAGCTCATTACACTGAGGGCTCATGGGCTCCTTAACATCTCATGGGGAGCTTATCTAGCAAATGAATAGAGGCTACAGTGTTTGCCATCAAGTAGACTATTCTATTATTGGCTAATGGTTTTTGTTATTAAATTTGACGAAACATTTATAAAATACTTGAGGAAGCTTTTATAAAATACTAGCTGTACCCTGCCACGCTTCAATCAAAAATCAGGAACAAAACTGGAAAATAAATAAAAACATTCTTTGAAGCGAGTTGTAGTATATCGTGTCAAAATTTGAGCTCAATCGGTGCAGAACTTTTTGAGTTTTGAAGCGTACACAAACCAGCTTAACATTTTCAAATGTATAGGTTTTGTATCATGAACGTTGTATAATCACACTTTACTATTCAAGTTAACGGCTGTACTACTATTAGATAATCTAATATGAAAAAAATACGACTGTCTCTTCGTTTGCCCTATATCATAAACAAAATAAAGAAGGTTTTCTAGCCAAGGCCCCTCATGTGCCTACCTTTTTTATATTATGGACATAAGACCACAGCGTAATCTTTAAAATTATAAGAGTTAACCTTCCTCATAAGATAAATGTTCAAGTTCGTTTAATTATAATATTAAATCACTAATAAACATCCTTGGTTGTTTCGGTATGAAGTTATCAGTGTCAGTGTGTTATCTCATTAATAACTAGTTTTGAGCATAAATTACTGAAAACAATAACATATGCGTTAATAAACTTCATATTATTAAATTTTAATACAATAATTATATAATCTGCCTGTATTTGATTTACTATATTTAATTCATACTCAGGACATTAAGGAAACCGCTTAGGATACGATAAATCAATTGGTGAGATTAAAAACCACTTATATCACGCGGTAAGGCCAACTAGACCATCTTCTGGGTCCTGCGTGAATCTTACAAGGCGTAAAACGCACTCTCCGCCCGCCCCCTAGATATTTTATGTGTATAAGATTCCTGTTTGTTGTTGATCAGTTCATTTGTGTCCTGGTTCGTACCGGACTGTCCACTACTGTCTCCGAAACTATAGTTACCATAAACAATTAGGGAAAGTAGCGCAATTTGGCTCCATAACAAAGGTCATTTGTTACCCATTGTTGAAGAAAGTGAATACGCGAAGATACTTACATTTACTTTATAAGTTAGAATTAAATATGTTCACAATTTTACAGTTGGTGGGAAACACTAGTGACTACCGACGTGGTTCAACCTGTCAAGAATGTATCACAAAGTAGCAGTCTAACAGACGCACTCGCCATTTTAACGGAAAACCGAGCACCGCTGCTGACAGTCGTGAATGAGAAAGGGTAAGGCAAATTACTATAATTTATAATAATTTTACTTTTCTCTATGAGTAAAATAAAATTGTAACAGACCCCATTTCGTTCAACTAATAAATATTTTATCTTGGTTGCTTGTTTTACCATATTAAAGCATTTTGGAAATAGGTTAACATAATAAGCTGTGCCTATTGGTATATTGGTAGATCTAACAGGCATGTTCCATTTTGTGTGGCATGTACAATTTCTCTTTGTAGCAAAAATACTCTTAACATCTATCTGTTGTTTTAACTCAATGTATCTATGACTAAGCCACAGTAAACATAGAATACTGTGCTATGTATATGGTGATAACTGGCATTCCAAAGAAAAAATATATTTGACATTTGGTGACAGCAAAAAGCAAAACATGACGTGATTTTAGAACCCAATGTAAATTATTTAAGTAAAACTAATGATTATTCTTTTTATGTTAATAATAGCATACGTATACATAGTCACAGTTTTCATTAATGAAGTTGGAACGCGTCTCGAGGATCGCCCCTCGGAATATAGTACTTTCAAGAGCATTCAGTCTTAGAACTAGACATAAAGTGTAATCGTAATCGTCTTATGTATTGAACTGGTAAATCATGATTGTGCGCTCGGCCGTTCGGAAGAAACGTGGTCACGCAAAATATACTTTAGAAGCACAGACATTGACCTAATCTGGCGTGAAGTAAAATCCCATTACTATCTAACGAACCCAAATTGTTCGGAGCGCATCTTCGTTGAAATTTTAGTAAGTTCAAAAACGGTAGGCTATAATTTGCACATAAAACGTATCCTGATTACGTATTATGCAGTACCTGACGTAGATAAATGTTATAGGTTCTGCGAAATATTTTATGAATCTCTACTTTGCTTTAAACAATATTATTTTTTAGGGTTCCGTACCTAAAGGTAAAAAAGGAACCCTTATAAGATCACTTTCTTGTCCGTCTGTCCGTGTGTCACCACCGATTTTCTCAGGAACACCCGTTCCTACCCAGACCTAGCAAGTTGAAATTTATACTAGAAACTAAGGTCTATGGTCCCTATTAGGTGTTTAAAAATCAAGGTCCTGAGTCAACACGATAAAAAGATATGGCCAAATTTCGATTTTCGCGAAAACTTGTAAGTACCAAAATTTACCTTAATTTTCAACTTTTTTAATTTTTCAGAATTTTCTCTTTACTTATGCTGTAAGACCTTGCCTTTAACCAAAATTGACAATTCTAGGTCCACCGGAAGCACCCTATAGGTTTTGGGTCGAAAACCTATATGGTAGTTCCCGTTGACCTAGAATCACGAAATTTGTCAAAAAGAAACGTCTTACAGCACAAACAAAGGAATAATTCCAAAAAATAAATAAAATCTACGTAAAATCTGGGTAGGTACGGAACCCTCGGCGCAAGAGTTCAACTCGTACCTGACCGGTTTTTCAGTGTTATATACAGAACATGTCCACTACATCCAAATATTCTGGATTGGACGTATACGTTAGGGTTTTTCTTGGTAGCGAAGAGCTGACCTGAATATTCACAAATTGCTTAAAAAATATTATCACAAAAAATTGGTTTACATATTTGTGATCATTTTTATCTAGTTAGAGAACTGACAAAACGCTAACAGTATTTATGACTGTAAAGAATGTGATAATGGAGGCTGAAGATCAAAGCCTCCTGGATGATGTTTAGTAACGTTAGTTAGGTAGGTCATATTATTATGTACTTAAGAATATTTTGATAACTATGAGAAATTCGCCCTTGATATAGAATACCTATGTTTAAAAACTTTAAGTAACAAAGTAAAAAATATGCTTAATTCTTCTAATAATAAAAATATTATTAATCTCTTGCAGTTCTGTAGTCGGTGTGTTTACCGCAGATAATGTAAGAAGACGACTAGTAAACCTCACTGGTTGTTCCTCCGACAGACTCGACAAGTATATAGTGAAGAAATATTACAAAGTGGACCTCGCAAATAAACCTACTTTAGGATTGCTTTCACGGATGCTTGATATTGCCCCTCATGTGATCGTAGTCGAGTCAGGTAATGTATACATGCTTGAACAAGCTGAATGAAAACACTTAATAACACTGAAGACACTTTAATACTGGCTAGAGGGTCACACTTCGATGAGGTGCTTCGGCTCGCCGAGCATGGGGTGGCTTGTGTCGTGGGAAAGATTCATGAGCTGGTTCTAAGGGTGGCGCCTCAGAAAACTGAGGCGATATGGTTCCATGGCCTACGTAAGCGCCAGGAACCACCCAGCTCATGCCTTCGGGTGGGTGACGCTGAAGTCCAGGTGGGCCGGTACATGAAGTACTTAGGCCTCGGACAGTCGATGGAGTTTCGGAGAGCATTTCGAGCGATTAGTTCCCCGAGGACCGCCTACCTCTACAACAAAGTATATCGCATTCTTTCAATATACGATCATACAACAAAGGCTAAAAGGCCTTGACTATCGTGCTACTGAAAGCTTATTACATAGCTAATAATATTAAGCACGGGTGATTTTAGGTACCAACTTTATATTTCAAACAAATAAACTCATAAATTTACTACACTAACACATTATCTTACACAATTAGCGCACTACAGACAAGCATATATACTCATACATTAAAAACATACACACATTTTCACACACGCGCAAAACATACTTTTAGGTATCCGGCATGTTGTCTATTTCTCCTCTTCTTTTATTGTGTATTTCGTATTCATATATTGGTATCCTTATGATTTTTATCTTCTCTGAACTTTAAATTTATTTCCTTGAATTGTATTAATAATGTATTGACAGCAAAGAAATTTTTAAGAAGGGTGAGTGCCTGGTGATCTGAGCTACAGGCTCATGTCTAATTCAGACACGAGTCCTCTCACAATTACTGTTTCTAATGTAAGTTATTGATGTAAGTTAATATTGTACTGATTGATGATTGTGAGAAGAAAATAAAGAATTATTATTATTATCCTGGACGGTCGGTGGAGCTTCGAAGAGCATTTCGAGCTATTAGTCCCACGAGTGCGCGGGGTAGCGGGTGCACTGCATCGCCTGCTGCCCAATCTCGGGGGACCACGAGAAGAAGTTCGCCGTCTCTACATGGCCGTCGTGCGATCCATGGTCCTCTATGGGGCGCCCGGCTGGTCTAATGACTTGGCGGGTGTCTCCCGCTTCAAGGCTCTACTCAGAAGCCTGAAGCGGTTGATGGCCATACGGGTCGTACGGGGCTATCGTACGATCTCGTTTGAGGCGGCGACGGTCTTGGCGCGATATCCCTTCGACATTTTGGCCGACATGGACGCGATGGTCTATGACAAAGTTCGGTCGGAATGGTGAGGAGGCCGCGCCGGATCATGGGCCCGGAATGCTACGGCGAAACGCGCATACGCAGGCTCTGTGGGCGTGGCAGGCATGGCTTGTAATCCAGGGCTGTGCTAGCCAACGCGCCGTCGGAGCCGTTCTGAAGAGCTTCGAAGCGTGGGTAGGGGAGAACGACTGTGTCTCCTACCGATTGACACGGTTGCTTCGTTGAGTATCTGAATCGAATTGGACGGTAGGTTACGGCACAATGCCACCATTGCGGGTCCGACCGGGACTCCGCCCAGCACACGCTGGAGGACTGCCTTGCATGGGAGTCCGAACGTCGAGTCTTGGTCTAACGAAACCTGTCACCGGCAACATTGATCGCGGCAATGCTGGCGAGTGGCGAGGGATGGGCAGCCGCGGTCTCTTTCTGCGAGGACGTTATACTCGAAAAGGAGGCCCCAGAGCGGCATCGGGAGAGGGCCGATCCCGCTCGAAGGACGCGGCAGGGGTCGCTAACTCCCCAATCGCCGCCTAAGGGTCGATCTTGACACATCTTGGGGCGATGTGACCGCTGTAAACGACCCGAGACAGATGACACTCCGGTGCGGCCGGGGGGTGTCGTCTAAGGCGGGACGCTGTTGCGCCTTTTACTCTGTAGAGCAGTGAGAGGCGCGGTAGCCTCCTGACCCAGGGTGACTACGGTCACTCCGGAATGTGCCTTATACATGGGGTACGGCAGGGAGGACTCCAGAAGTCGCCTATGCGTTCCTGGAGCTCCTCCCGACTGCCGAGGTAGGCAGCCGCGGGGTTCAGTGGGTAGACCAGTTCTCCGGGAGTCCCACACACGCCCTGCGTTTCCCCGGAGGGTATGGTGCGAAAAGCATTCCCCGCGTGAAAAAAAAAAATCTTAAATATGTACCATCAACTGTTCAATTTAGGCAGTTCCTGTATAATTGTTATGCTATTCAAGTTATATTCTACCGTTATTACACAGATTTCTAGATATCGTTTGATTCCCCTCAAAATTTTTGGTAATAAAGTTACCTGCCTATTTAATTTGGGGGATTTTTAAATGATTTTTGTTTAAATTCGATAAGTAATCAATGTATCACCGTCTTCAATGCGGCTACATCGTGATAAATTGTAATAAACTGTATCCTTAATTCCTTAGTTTTCCGTCCTAGAGGCAGTAATTCAAATTTGAATGGGACAAGTAGGAGTACACTTCCAAAAAACGTTCTGAGGCAACGGACATAAAAATACAATCGAATTAAGAACCTCCTTTTTTGCAGTCCGTTAGTTAGACATGAGACATCTGATAAAGTTTACAGTGGATTAATAGTTGTCGTGGAGAGCCTTGAGGGAGGCCTATCTGCGGTTGAAATGATGATGATGAATAGAAATTTAATAGAAGAAGTACAACAGCTGTTGTACTTCTAATAAAAGTACGACTGCTATTTATGAAAGAAATAAAGAATCATTCCCAACAAATTATTTTGTACTCTGTTATTCCAATCTGATACACAAATCAATTTAATCCTAATAGAAATCAGCTGACGTCAATAACCTATATTTTAAATGGGTCATGTCCTGTAGATTTACTTATTACACTTTAAAATTAAACCTGTCACAAGAAACAAAATAAATAGTGTACCGTAATTATGAAAGTGTTTCTTATCGACTTTAATTTTACTTTACTTCATGACTTATATAGAATACTACAATTGTTCTATAAACGTTTTCAGTTAAATTCTCTTATCATTCTTCAATTTGTAACTTTTATCTTCTCCCTTCAATTTTTGATAACAACACAACATGACAAAATTCTGCATGGGTTAGATTTATAATTCTCTTTATTTATTTACATACTATTGGCATCTCCTCCTCTTAATTTCTTGTTATTTTCGTGTTTTAGATAAATCAACTAACATGCAGCGCCCGATCGGATTTGTGACTTCAGAGGATTTACTGTCACATATTTCAACAGGGAAAAAACATATGAATGGCAATTAGTTTCTTCAACATAAACAAAAGGACAATGGTATTTTTTAATGGTTTTACATATAATTACATTGTATATTTAAAATGGTGCTAGGAAATCAAAAAGAATCACCTATTGTCCATAATATAATGAAATAAATAAAATTTTCTTAAGATAATGGACATAAATAGTGATGATGTGAAGATATACAGACAGTGCACCGAAAGTAAAGTGCGAAATACATTGCCAAACAATACTTAATTTTACATTGGTATTTATAGTTTACTATTGCTCCATCAATTATGTTTTGGTTGGATTATAATTGTTTGTAGGCTACAAATTTAATTGAAAATATCAGAAATGATGTAGTAGATGAAGCATTACAAAACAAAGAATTAACATTTAATTTGTACTTGTATTTCTAAATGGTGTAATACTTATTTAAATCATTTCTATCGCATAGTTTATTGATACAATATATAAATATGCTACAACATAAACAATACTTAAATAAGTTGACATTTGTGTATAATGACTTAATGACAGTATAAGACAAAATTTAGATACTTTAAATTTTACCGCATTCCGCATTCATACCGCATATGACAATTTATTCATTACTGTTCTCTTAAAAACCAAATGTATTGAGAGAAAATAAAGATCTTATCCAACATTTCATTTTTATTTATTGTCTACTCCTTCAGGGGAACAAAATGAATACAGAGCAGAGAGCACTAACTTTAACTCTACATCCAGTCTTACAATGTTAATAGGCTTCGTCATATTTCAATTAGGGTTCTACTTCAGACTGGGAGCGAAAGATATCAAAACCCTTCTAACTTTTCGCAAAGCTACAAAAAAATCGATTGAACAGTCAACAAAACTTTTCGGTGATACCTGCTATTTCCAAGGGGTTTAGCATGCTCTGCTCATGCTCATAAGACCACCAGTAACTAGGATTAGGACTCAGGCGTTAGTACTACCCCGTTCACAAGCAAATTTTTATAAAGTCAATTAAATAATTTTAATTATGACTATAAAAATTTGCTATCTATTATGACCATACTCATAAAGCTGACAAATTTGTTTCGTGGACTATTCTCAGGACTTCTGGTTTGAATTTAAAAAAAATTAGTGTTGGATAGGTCATTTAACGAGGAATACAATAGGATCAGGATCATCACGCCTACATCACCAATAGGAGCCGAACATCGATGAAAAATGTTACAAAAACGGGGAAAAGTCATTTTGAAAGACAGACAAAGTTGTGCGGGTCTGCGATTTATAGAATAGTACTTATGGGAATGCCAAGTATCACATGCAAAAAAAAATAGTGTTAAGTATGTGCCTATATATTTTTACCTCGCTCTGCACCACGGAGCAAATACAAAGAGGAGGTGTAATTAGATTTTCCTATGAAACAACGCATGATAATTGGCGGGGTGAAGGGCATTCTCTGAGCATTTTCAAGAAGAGAAACAAGGATTATTATCTGTCCCTTCAATAATTAGACCCTTAGTATGTATACCAATCAATGTAGGTATTTGTTTAAGTTATATTCTTTTCTGTATTGATTCCTAAGTACACATGACTGTACCCTTACGTTTCTTTGTTGTCCTCTATTAGCTTAAGGTTTGCTAGAAGAAAACTCAGTTTTGGTTAAGCTAGCCTTTGTATAATAAAATATCTTGTTTCTTGTACATGACATTTCCTTGTTACTTATATATGTGTTCAGCGTGTACAGTAAAGAATAAATAAATAAATGAAATACATGTTTACAAAGAGTAATACTCATGTCAACCCCACTTTCTGAACAGTTCCAGGGAAACTTTTCTGTACTCAACATCTCCATAAAATACCAGCAGGCTGTGTATACTTTTAACAGGGAAATAAAGGAGATTTAATATAGTCATTAAATTTAATACAGTCAGTACACAGTACTGATATTAATACTAGTAGTATTTACAGATATTAATGATATTTGTTGAGTTTTTATAATCCACTATAAAAATCATTTAAATATTTGGAGCACATATATGTATGACATGAAAAAGTTTTTAATGTTGTTTTATTTTTACCACACAAATGTACTAAGGGGATGGTGATGATTGTTTAGCATTCGCTGCAAGTATAGCACCAGGTGCAGGATAAGGTCGCATTTGATATAAGGATCCGGATGCAGTTGTGTCAACTCCTGTCTTAGCATGTGAATCCAGACCTGAAGTCCAATTACCTCTAGGTATATCAGAGTATGATGCAGGATCCATGGGGTCTAAATCATTATCTTTTACCCTTGGTCTTTTGCTTCTGTGATGCACCAAATCCTTTTCTTTTCGTTCATGTCTCTTCTCTTTATGTGGTTGTTGAGGAACTTCTTGATCTGATGTCTCGCTATCCTCATCACTTTCATCACCCTCTTTCAATAATCGCTCTTCACGTAAATGAGCTGCACTTTCAGTAGGAACAGCAGCAGGGTGTGCTGGAGGCAACCAACTTACCAAATTATTATGAACATTCCAGAAGTAATGTTGCCCATAGCCTTCATCATACACTTCTTCCCAACCAGGAGGTAGGGGCCATATTTCTAAGGCCTTCTTTTTAAGCTCTAAGTAAACTTCATCGGGCACTGTTTTACCACTTTTCCATTTTTTTACACAAAACTTAGAGCACTCATGATAAATGTTACTTTTATTGGGACACCCTTTATGCCCTTTAATTGGATCCACATTTACCCCTTCAATACCTTCCCAAAAATGCTCCTTTTTCACTCGTTCATCAGGTTTGCTATCATAGTCTTCCGCAATAATTTCTTCATTACCCTGAACTGCGGGAGTTTCGTTACTCACTTCAGACTCATGTTGTGGCTTTAAAATGCCTCTCTTTGCTAATCGTGCGGCTAAAGCAGGTGGCAAAGGCATTATTATTAGATATAAAATAATAATAATATTTGAGAACTAAAAACTATATTTTACTTGTTTTATGCAAATGTAACTATAGTCCATCTAATCTAAGAGGTACCGTTTGACAGTTCTGACAGATTGAAGAATAGCGATGGCGTCAAAGAAATTGATTACAACAATATCCGATTCTAAGAGATATCGATATCATTTATTAGTAAGTCCTAATCGATTTCAGTTTTACAGATTTTTATATGTTACACTTAAAGCCCGTGTGATGTTGTACTAGTAAATTTTAATATACACTACGCTTGGACACGAGCGATTTTTGCCTACAAAGATTTGTTTAAAATTACATTAACTTACATACTTTTAATTTTAATTATGCGTTGTCATTGACAGTAAGATGCCAGATTAATTTTCAGTATTATTATATATTAGTAGACACCTGGATTGAATCGTTCGTTCGTTGAATCGTTAAAATGTAAGAAAAATGTCTATTTTTCGTATATTTTAACGATTATTTGGATTCAAGTGAATTCGAAAAGCCGCAACACGACGGTAAAGGACCTACCTACGTGACTTTAAAACGAAGTTTGAAAAAAAACGTCTTTTGTGTATGAATTGGTTATTTTGTTTTATTACAAAGATTTAAATTCAAATTTAGGCATTAAGAATTATATCTTGCACCAAAATAAATTAGTTTAATAAGAAAGTTTATTGAAATGGTGTGAGTTACGCCTATACAAAGTTTTTTCCTACATCTACAAGATTCAGGGTTTTTTCCTGGGAAAAAATTCTGAATCTTGTAGCTTGTTTCTTGGCTGAACAGAATAATTAATTTCCTTGGATTGGTAACCTTTAAAGGCCAAAATTTGCGTACTGGTCATATCCGATTGTATTTTTTTTTCACACTTTTCAATTCCAGGCTCTAAAATATCGAATTCCTTTTAAAAATTGCCCTTGACCTTTGAGATAACCTTCAAAGTTGTGATCAAGGTTTCCATCCAGACGCAGGTCCTTTCCGGGCACGGCTGCTTCGAAAAGTACCTGCACTGGGTCAATAGGAGGGAATTGAGATTGAGGGGATTGCAGTCAGGACTAGGCTTAGCACACGCTGGCAATTTTCGCAGCTGGGCGTCGCAGCGCTGGGTCCTTATTGCAGTCATCGGTGGAGATCTCTCACTACCGGCTGTCATACGCTCCATGGCCGGTGGTGACAGATGTTTTACTGCGTTCGCATCCTTCTGTGATGGCGTCATCTCACAGAAGGAGGTGGCGGAGAGGGCCCGGGAGCACAACCTCCGCTCGGACCCAGTATGCCCCGGTCGACCCGTGTGGCCGCGGGTAGATGTCCAACAATCCGTAACGATAGCCACAAATGTTCGTATGACAACTGGGATCGACGAAAGTAAATACCATTTCAGAAAAAAGAAACTGTCGTGAGAGGTCTATGGACCCCACAAACGAACGATATGATATGATACGAACCAAAAATGCGATAGATGTAAATTATTAGTACTTAGGTACTGAAAAAAGGTGATTTTCGCTAAAGTATTTTTTAAATCTATGGCAGGGTTTAAATTTCGTCCATTACGATATAAAAAAGGATAAACAATACAGGACTTGGTTAAAAATATTTTTTTATTTTTTTACTAAACATTGCATGGGAAGTTAGGAATTATATTTGTTTATGTAACTGAAACCCTTTCTCCACATCACAAGGGGAAGGGAAAAAAGGGTATTGAATTGAGGGTCCGGATGCCTTTTTTTTTGGTATTGGTTGTGGGCTTCGGTTTCCGCATTTAGACTCAAGAGTGGTCCTTTATGCGTCGAGGACTGGTTAGCTAGGTGAGAAAACCAAGCTCCTTCCAGAAGCGCAGAAAGCTCCTAAGGCGTTCACAGGCTTCTAGGAGCGATTTTGTACCGGGAATGATACTTGCCCGTTGTGTGGCCACTCCCTCGCATTCCAGGACTACGTCGGCGGCCGTTTCTTCTGCTTCCAGACATCCCCTGCACAGAGGGCTGTCCGCCGCATTGATGATGAATAGGTGTCGGTTCAGGGCTAGGTGTCCTGTTATAGTACCGACAACTATTCGGCTTTCCAGTCTCCTAAGACTAATCCATCTGCAGGTGAGTCGTGGTGTGACTTGAGTCAGCACCAGTTTGGACAGTCTGCAGCCGGGTGAGTTTTTCCAACTCCGGTTGTGTGCGATTTGGTTTAACGGTATTGGCAGGAGTATGGTTGGGCTGCTAGCTGGGGTTGCCGAGCAGCTCCTTGCCTACTCATCTGCGGCATCGTTCGCGTGTGAGTTACTGTGCCCTTTAATCCATTGGAGGAGTACCACATTTAATGTGGCAAGCTGCGCCAATGCTAGATGGCATTCGAAGCCAGTACCAGAGGTAATTGTGTTGCCGTAAATTGCCTTTAGGACGGCCATGCTGTCGGATAGTATTCGAATGTTATAGTGCTTGAGACCCCTTGACATAGCCATTGTGACTGCGTAAGTTATTGCCACACATTCGCATTGGAATATGGAACTGTGTTGGCCTAACGCTAGTGATATGTTCATATTTAGATCTTGCGAGAAAACTCCGGCTCCAGTTCCTGACCTAGTCTTCGAACCGTCCGTGTAAATTCGGACTTCGTTAACGCCGGATTGATCTCGGTAATTTTCTTGCATCTGGATGTGGTATCTTTTTGTGAAGATGAGGTGTTTTGGGATTCTATCGCATGGGGCTGCTATTAGTGGTTCGTATTCCACCAATTGATCCCATAATTTGGAGTGCGATCCCTCACTTTATGCCATAGGTGCCCAGGTGTCTGAGTTTAATGATCGCCATGGCGGCCTCCTGCTGTATGAATAAATCCAGTGGGGGCAGACCCAGAGCCACCTCCAGTGCGGCAGTTGGCGTTGTGCGCATACTGCCAGTGAGTGCAGAGAATGGGAGTCGCTGGAATTGCTGCAATTTGTTTATGACGGTGCTTAGCTCTGTTCTCTGCCACCAGACAACAGCGCCGTAAGTGATTATTAGTCTTATGACTGTTCTGTAAAGCCCTAGAGTAATCTTGGGTGATAGTCCCCAGCTTTTGCCGAGTAACCGTTTGCATTGACCGTAGATAATGCAGGCTTTGTTCAGTTTTTCATCGAGGTGCTTATTCTACAGGAGTTTACTGTCCATTATTACTCCTAGGTATTTGACCTCTTTGGTAAGAGCAAGTTGCCTTCCAAACAGCTTGGGAAGTCTGAGGTTTCCTCGACTGCGTTTGTTTGTGAACATGATCATCTCTGGTCCGGATGTCTCAATAACAGCTGTTTCCGCATCCCTCCTTTTTCAGGCACAAAGTGGCACATCGTATAGTTTTAGTCGTTTCAATTCGTAGATAGCTCATCAGTTCCTCATTACAATCGTCTGATTTTTCGTCGTGTTTTTAAGTAATTTTAAAATAACAAATAATAATTAGCTGAATCGTGACCTAGTTTTCGCCAACAAACAGTAGTGACGGAAAGTGTGTCAAATGCTTAGTACATAATTTTATGTAATGCGATTTTGAGATAATGTACCATAATTAGAATACACATAATATAACTAATAACTAACTAACTAACTAATAACTATGGACGGCACCTTCTCTTTCAATGCGCCGTAACGTTCAAAGCCAAGGAGATGACCGGATGGAAGTCATTTCAACCCCTGAGATTCAGAACTGGATGTCTACTATAGAGCAACTATATAACCGGGCTTAAGCAATCCCACGGAGCAAATACAAAGAGGAGAGGGCATAAGCAACTGTGCACTGTGATTTTAAGTGGATCCTGACGTCATCACAGTGGGCGTGGCTTAAAATTAGTACACTCAACGTCCGTACTGTGCACTTGTGTCGCAAAATCGCAAATCGGTATATTTTCGTGATATTAAGAAGAAAAGGATGACGTTTTGTGTTTTATCATGTTAAAATAATTCGGATAGGCGTTTTCTTGCTATTGATGGCATCGCATTTAATTTGTAGGTAATTTTATACTTAATTTATCAAAACAATTCTTAAAAAAACTCTTAGTGTTTTTTGTAATATAATTACTTCTATTCGTCACTAGATGACTAAACTTTGTGTAATTTAAACTAAAAATACACGGATATTCTCACATGAACAATACCCAGCGCCTATAAGTTCAGGTAATAATCTATTTGTATACCACCTTTAATCCAAATTCGTCCAGCCGTTTCAGCGTGAAAAATAACATATACACAGTACATAGCGTGGGATAAGTCAACGAGAAAGAAAGAACACATAAACTTTCGCTTTTATAAGATTAGGGAGGTTAGTACGAATATACCTAGTATGAGTAAGATTTTTGCAATAGATGTGAGTATCAACATGGTTCAAAAAATTAATTGCTCCGTGAGCAATCCATGCTTTCCTTTCACCGAGTTACTGCGGTTACGGGAGCCCAAAACCGCCTCTCCCTGATTATGGGGGGAACTCAAAGGTTGGCATCTTGTGACTTACTTACCTGATATGACAGACCTATATCATTTAGATCAGAGTTGTCTGAACCAGGGTCTACTCGTACATGTAGCCCGCGTCTTAAATTTATGAGGCCCGCGAGCAAAATGTTTTTCATATAGGTACTTTAAAATAAGAAAATATCTCCTTCAAGTTTTCAATCTTGGAGAGGAAACACTATTACCGGTTTTTTTTTGTGGAACCCATATTATCTTAACCTCCTTTATAAGGAGAGGCCTATGTCCAGCAGTGGACTATTAAAGGCTGTTGATGTGATGTGATGTGTGATATTATCTTCTTTAAAAATGGGTTCGATTATATGCACTACCTACCTATCTATGTTGGTGAAATTGCATACTCAGCAATGAAGTTTATAAAATCGAATTATTCGCCTTACCCTAGTATCTTGTTTGGACATCCCTGATTAAGATTATATAACTTATATCCAGGTTGCACAGAGCATGCGGGTACTATTGAGTAGGTATACTTTCCGCGCCTCTTTTGCCAATCAAAT